GGAGAAGAGTCAATTTAAGAAAATAAAATGTAAATAATCAAATAAATTTCTGACTGTCACACGTCGTTCATTCACATATCTTTCCTCTTATTATTTTTCTTCTTTGACTCTACTATGGTCCACATGGATAGTCCGCACGATATAAATCGCTTTTCTTCCTACGATGGGGGGTCATATTCGCATAACATCTCTGTTTACATTTGTTTTGTATTTTTTGATCAGCCTTGTCCTTGTCTGTTCTTCCTTTTCTATCTTATTTTTACATCTACGAACACATGGGCCCTCCACCAGAGTTACACTCTGAATATGTGATAGAAAATGAAGAATATAGGAGAACAAAATTTAAAGAGAAAACAAAAAGTAAACGTAAACAGAGATGATATGCGAATATGGCCTCGTCCCCCTCCCCCTTCCAACGTAGGAAGAAAAGGGATTTATATGATACGGACTATTTATGTGGATCATAGTAAAGCTAAAGAAGAAAAATGATAGGAGAAAAAAATGTGAACGAACGACGTGTGACAGTCAGAGGTTTATTTGATTATTTACACATTATCTTTATAAATTGGCTCTTCTTCATCTTACGTTGTTTTTTCCTATCTGTGAAAAAGTAAAGTTTTTTTTAAGTTCATAGTGATAGTTAAAAATGGTTCTCTTTCTTTCTTTGTTTATGGATAGGACGTGTAAGCATGTTTTTGTTATCCATGAAAAACTCAGCCCTTTCGCTCGAATCGTAATGAAAATACTCAATTGTTTCTCTATAAAGTGACTTTTGGACTCTTTTAAAACTAGCTGTTTCCAGGATGAAGAAATTTGTAGGATTCGACAGTTGGAAAACGTCGAATGCACCTTGAATTCGATAGAATCCTACTCATGTCGTTCAAAATTGTTAACCGACAGTTCTTTATTACTAACACTTCACTCTCTCTCACCCCTCAAGTACAAAATGAATTATTTATTTTTTTGAATATACAACTTAATTTTGTTAGTTTATCTTTACATTTGAGTCACTTGTTTGACCAAATCCAAAAAAAAAGAAATAATTTTACGTTTTTTAATTTATACTTCCAAACGTGTCAGCTGTTAGATCAAATATAAATCTGAAAAATAGTTTTTTTTAAAATAAAACTTGCCGTTAAAGGTTACGGTTGGATAAGGACCAGTTTTGAGCTATCCTTAGTTTTCCTTCATTCATAGTCAACTTAATGTAGAATTTAATGAGAAATTGTTTAATAACAAAAAAAGATAAGTTCTAAAGGATCCAGACCCATTTTGTCTGAAATTATAGATATTGCCATTTGTACTAAAAATGCATGATTTATACATGAGAAGGTGGCTAGTATAAATTTCTCCATATCTGCCTTTTTAAACGAAATAGAAATGGTAATCTAACCCTAAAGTTTTCATTCTCATTTAGAATAATATTTACTGCATTGTTCAACAATGCCTCAATCTTTCTAACTCAAAAATGTTTACCAGATATCAGTAATTTCAGACAAAATAGGTCTGGATTCCTCAGAAATTGCTTTATTTTGTTATCGAATGGTTCCTTGTGAAATTCTATATTATGTAGACCATGAATGGAAGCAAACTAAGAATGCCTCAAAAGTGGTCCTTATCCATCTCCGTCCTTTGGATCACTCGATAGACCAGATCTAACTAAAAAAAATAAGTTAATTTAACTCTTAGAATATCACTTATGACGATTAATCACAAGACATGAATACAGATTATTTTGGATGCATATCTGAAGAAGATATATTGAAAAAGTAAGCTACAGCTGTATATTAATAACTTATACTAGATTGAAAAGATAATTGATAAACTTTCTGTATTATGGATGATCTTGCAATTAATGTTTTTTTAAACAGTCGGATACTGTCGATTTTCTTAAAAAAACAGACGACATGGGCATGGGATAATGTTGAATTTATATTTAGGCATTACACACTGTTCAACCCCCTTCTTCCCCTGTCATTTTCCTTTTGTCTAATGTGCACCTTATTCTAACTTATTATTACATTCGCTCATTTAATAATAAACTTAAGTCAAGGAGAGGAAAATAAATAAATAATCCATAAGATGTGCGTAATTGAAAATTCAATTGGATCGTTTTTTTTTTTGTTCATTAATATACGGTTTGATATCACTTGAAAAGCTGATTATAAAAACAGTTTTCATTCCAAACTGATCACTGTTTAGCTGAATAAAAAAAACTTTAAAAAACTCGAATGACTAAGAAAGTTGCATTTTTAATGGTGAATTTACCTTCTTTTATAGAAATTGTTATATCTCAATTTTAGCTATTTTGCGAGCGTTTTGAAAATATTATTTGAATGAACCTAAAATTGATACAGTTTTAAAAAGAAGGCTATCCAGTATAAATACTCGAACACGCTTGAGAGCATGTATTTCTAGGCAATTTTGTAAACCTATCTAGTTTTTTTGTGACAAGAGAGAGTGGCAAGTGTAATGTCTCATAAGAATTCTCAGATCGTGAATTACAAAAGTACTTATTTATTTTTATTTATTTTGTTTTATGGCTGAGAAAATTGAATTTTTTCTTTTTTCAGTGGCAAACCCAGACAAAAAAAGTGAAAAATGTGTTCGTATGTAAGTGTTTTTATCATTATAACTCGATTCTCAGGGTAAATGAATAGCTCACTTGGAATCAGCGTCAAAAGCTGTACAGAATAGTGCATGTTTCAATAAAAGTGGTTTCCGATTAAAAAAAACATGTGTGGACCCCTCAAGTATATTTTTCTAAAATTTGTCCCCTACGCTCCCCGCCCCCTCCCTAGGGGTTTGGGTTTTCGGGAAAAAAAACAATTTCCGAAAAAAATATGCATGATTCGATGCAGTTTTTGACGCTAACTCTGAATATATTGTTCATTTATCCTTACAATCAATATATAGTTATACAAATGGCTACATACGAACGTATTTTTCACATTTTTATCTGAGTTTGTCAGAATGTCTGCGCATTTATACTGGATGTTTTTTTAACTTTTTCAACTTACAGTCCATTCAAATGACATTTTTCTACTCAGTTTTTAATGCTGAGCCAGAATATGAAATTTTTAAAAAATTCACAAAATAACTGGAATTGAAATTTGACAATTTCTATAAAAAAAAATAAATTCATCATGAAAGTGCAACTTTCTTAGACATTCGAGTTTTTTAAGATTTTTTTTCAGCCAAATAGTGATCAGTTTGAAACGAAAGCTATATATTCCTGACCGATATACTGTCGATTCTTATGGATGCCGTGGTATACTGATCGTAGTGCGAATAAACGTATGGAATGGATATTTCTTCTCATCTAGTTGTATTGGATGAGAAGACATACCTATTCTCTATCTTATGATTAAGTATGATGTTATTAACAAAGAAACAAAATATAAAATGATTATTTTCATAGAATATCTACGCCTCTTTTATTTTAATATATAATGGCAAACCCGAGAATAAGCATTGTCAGTTTTCGAGTCATGATGTTGAATACAGGACTTCATCATTTTCGTTGTATCTATCTCACACATAGAACATAAGTTTCAATATAAGGGAAGGTCACGATTAAATAAATATCAAAATATCATTCATCTAAACGGACGTTGTTTTTTTTTCATCAAGTTTTTTTGGTCTATTCTTTATGGATAAACTGAATAAAAACATTATACATCATGTAAATAGAGAATGAAGAAATATTTTATTGTAAAATACTACTCTCATTAATTAAGATTTCATTCTAAAAAAATATTCTCAAATGGCTAATATTCAACAACAATTAGAAAATCTTCAAAATTTGCTATCTGATTTTCTTGATAAACGAGAAAAAGCTATTTCTTCAATTATCGAAATAGCTAATAAACTCGATGAACATCATAGTAATGTCAATATTACCAAAGTTGTAACTAGTAGCACTGGTATTGTTGGTACAATCCTTAGTATAGCAGGACTTGCACTTGCTATACCGTCCGGTGGTTTATCAACCGCACTCACTGTTGGTGGTATTGGTTTAGCGGTAACAAGTGGTGCGGCTCATGTGGGTTCTGATATTACTGAACGTATTTTGGCCGAATCACATTTAAAAAAATTGGATGAAATTTGTCAAGCTGATGAATCAAATATTTTTCGACTAGCTGATTATCTGGAAATAATGAAAGATGACATACAAAGAAGTTTTTCTGATAACAAAATTGATTTGAGAACAGCAAACAGCATTATACAAGGAGTATCAAGTTTCACTAATCTAGCATGCTCAATTATTCGTATTACACAGGCAACATGCTTATCGATCAGAACGATACCACTTGTTGGTGCTGGCCCGTTACGTCTTGCTGGTGCTACTTCGGTTGCGTTAGGTAAGAAAATGAATATAGTAAAATTGACATAGTAAATATTCATCTTCTAGGTGCGGTCACTTTACCATTTCAAATAATTGATCTTGCCATGAGTGGACAAGCACTGCATGAAAATGAAGTTAGTGAGACCTCGGCTAAACTTCGTCAACTTGCTCAACATCTCAAAATGCAAGGAGAAAATGTTGTTAACTACATTTTTAGGATGATAGATCCAATTCATGAGTAAAATGAAACTTTGATTTTATTTTAAAATTGTAACTATCTCGTTTTTTCTATCGATAAAATGAATAATGTTGTAAATTAATCTTTTTTAATTTTTCTAGTTCACAAAAATATCAATGGCTCGACATCACAAAAAACTAACATTTTATTTATTTCTATTAAGTGTGTAATTTTTCATACCAACTAAAAGAATGTCTTCACTTTTTGTCGATTTCAATTTTTCTTTTTTTTATTTCAACATTGATTCATTTGCGATCACGTTAATCATGAATAAAACTTTTCATTTTAACTAGTATATCTTCGTATATCGTTATTTTTGAATAAATTATATACATGAATAAATTTCAAAGACATTTTAGAATTTGATAAAAAAATTTTAAGAAATAACAAATCAATGAAGAATAATTGAAAATCATCAATTGAATGCGTTGATTATTATACAGTAATAATCAAAATTATAAGAACAAGATTTTTGTTTTCAATGATACTGAGCATCTAATAGATATTTAAATAGTCAATAAAATTATCTATTGGATGTATTATCTATGAAGATACCACGAATGAAATATAGAAATGAGATTTCTAAACAAGAAAACAAAATGAGGCATCGCCACGTTTTCTAAGATTTTCTATTACAAATGTACAAGCACCACCAAATACGAAAAATAGCTAGATTTATACAAAAAATCGATTATTTCCGTTTTGATAATCTCTATAACTGTTTAATGGAAGGTTGAAAAAAAATGCGGCGATCCATAATTCTATGTAGAATTCAGTTCTTTTCCCGATAGTATTCTTAAAAAACTATCAAATAAAATTAGGATTATTGTATCTTTTTTTATTAAAATAAATTTCAAAACTCTCTTGGAAGAATGCATTTATTGCACCTTATCTAAAGAAAATTATTCATTTATCTTACAAAATGACTAGATAGCGTATATTTCTAGAGTATGGATGTCAGTCTTTATTTGACTTCTGGATTGAGTGGGAACGTGAGTGCAATGTGTGCTAAAGTATCGATGTAAATATGACTGTATGTCGCCTCTTGTTGTGTCTCGCTACCCAGATCGACACTCACACTTTCAATTCTTTGTCTTTGCTGTTAAAACTGCATATATATTACTAAGTTAATCATGATATATTAATTATACATTTATTAGACCATTAATTAAAGATTAATTAGATAGTCATTAGAAGTCAATTTACTATTTAAACAAAATGTCTATGACGATTTCTGAGAAAATTGGATACTAATTTCTACTCTATATAATTCAATCAGAGATGGCGATTGTTGGTTTCGTAGCTTTTCAAACCGACCTCGATCTTGGTTCCACTCTTGAAGCTTCCATGTTCGGATCTACTCAGTTCAGTAATAAATTCATACGCCTTAGAACAATATTTCAACGTCTAATGGAATAAAAGTAAAAAAAAAATTTTTATTAGTAGAAATGAAGTTGTAGATATATTTTTTCTGATCTTTCCTCGCCTAAGAAAAAGAGAGAAGATAAACAAAGATATGTTGTTATTTAGAAGAAAAAAGCATTCAGGTCATCATCACTTTGATCAAAGTCAATATCTATCAAAATTTAACTATTCTTAAAACGAATAAAATAAAACTAAATAATAACTAGAAAAATACGAATTTCTAGCTAGATAATAATCCTTATCGTATAATAGAAGATTCCGGAATACTGTGTTATACTCGAACAAATAAATATTTCAGGTAAGCCTTCTATTAGATTTCTCTCTTTATTAAGTAATGATAATTAAAAATTTATCCCAAAAAAGCAGGTCTACTTAGTATATATGAACAGATTTTTCACAATGGAAATGATGCAGAAATCATGACTGCTTCAGTTTCCATTTGTTTCAGAATGAGTATTATACAAACCAGCATCTTCTCGATTAGATATATTTATTTAAGTTAAAATTTGATAATTAATTAAGTAATTAACGAAGTAATTTCTATCATATCCGAAGCATCTCTTTTTCAGGGAGTTTTCTATTATGCAATAATCTTTAATGACAAAAAGGAGTTTAGATGACAATTATTTTGAATAAGGCAATTTTTCATAAATATTATAGTTTTAATTATTCTTAATTGATTTTTGAAGCTTTTGTTTTGGTTTGCTTCATCTAAAAGGTTAGCCTTACCGTTTCCTGAGTTAAAATTTTTTATTTTTCCCTTTTTTGTTTTCTTTTTGTGACCATGATGTAATCTCAAGTAGTATCTATCCGATGAGTAAATTTTAAGATCCAAAAATTATCTTTAAACTTTAAAAAATCAGAGAAACAAAATCAAACTTTCATAAGAAAAAGATCGAAAACTGCATATTGTTTCGTGTTTTCCTCAAAACAAATTTTTCATGAGAAAAACTGTAGAGATGCCCCCATTTCTTCGGTGTAATAAATCCCATAGAGCTGACACTTTTTTCGCATACACTAGACACTATTTAGAATGAATTTTTTTCGTTTAGAAGAACGATTGTTCTCTGATTTTTGTTAGCTCTTAGAAAAAAAGAAGCTCTATTCAAAAAAAATTGTGTTTTTGAAGTACCTTCTATATTTTGAGTTTTTTATTCAAAGTACAGAAGATAAAAAAAGCGTCACAAATATTTAACCACAACAAACAATTTCTATTGTCCGCAAAAAAAATTTTCGCTCGATTGAACGCAACATAGTGGAGAAACTGGGATGAATAATCATTTCTTGAGAGACGTCATCAAGAAGAGGAATGACCATATGCAGTTTCAGCTTAGTTTAGCCTTTGAAAAAAACTTGAACCAAGATCATATTTTGACTTGACTACTTTTTTTCGCGCACGTTTCACAAAAGTAATCAAATAAATATTCAATAAAAGTTGTTGAATGAGAAAAAAGTTTTTTATTATTGATTTAACAATAAGAAATAAAACAATGATAGTTATCCAATCAGTAAATTGTATGTCTCTTAAATATAATATGTACAAGATCAAAACCAAAGACGAAATCTTAATGTTGTTATATCAAATTGACTATTAGGAAAACGTTTTTGAATCATAGAACGATAAGGTCCGATTTTTTGACGATCAATTCGACCAGAAATATCCAGAAACGCAAATCGTTTTAATTGTTGAAATAATTGAGAAAGATCATTTTCAAAGACGGAAACATGTTCAACTAAACAAAAAACAACAAAAAAATAGTTTTATTATTAATTTAAAAGTCTAAATTATTTTCATACTAATTGATTCATGTGTTGTTAAAGATTTTCTCCATTTATCAGTTAATTTTTGATAACGATATCCAATTCGAAAATCTGGTCGAACTCAAATAGAAAAACAACAATAACTTTCATATTCATTTATATAATCAATAAATGTCTTAACTAAAAAATTTTTTTTTCTTATTCAAATATCAAACTACTCTTGAATATATTATCAGAATTTTTTTATTATGGTTTCTTTTTCAAAAATAACGACGTTTGATCATTTTTTTTTGGTCAATATGATTGACTATCTTTTAACATCAAAATAAATTTCTTCATCTCAATTTAATAAAAAGCAAAACAATATTTCGTTTCAGTATGACATTTTATATAAAAGATTTTTTCTCATATTACATTTCTAATCATATATATTTGTAAGACAGATGATCATCGCGGCGTCCAAAAGTTAACTATACCGTATCCCATTGAGCTAGATAAAAGTTACTGCGAGTACGATGATACTAAAAAACAAACTGTTTTAGGGTGTGACTTTTCACAATAAAAGTTTCTACTATTACAATTTGTAAAATATAATTAGAAAACTATTAGTAAGAGTTTTCAATATGAACAAAACTATAATTTCAAGTTATTTGAATCTCTCGCCAGAATAAAATTCTATCAATTAATTATATTTATATGTTAAATTTTATTTTCAATGTATAAGTATTTTGAATATCGAATAGAATCAATTATGAATATATATACATATATATATATATAGCATTATTATAACATAATTATATATCGAAAAACTTTCAAAGAATAGATGAGAAATTTTAGTTATTAATTCGATAATTTTTCATTGTTTTTGATATATCATTTGACAAGATAATTATTTCATTTTCAATCGGTTCTCACTGAGATAATAAATATATGATATGATCTTGCTTTTTTTTCGTGAATAATTATCTTTGATAAATATTCACAGATTTAATGATAAAGGTTTTTTTCTGTTTTTATTATTCTGCCTTCAATTGATGACAATGATACTCTACTGTCTGATATTTAACATATCTTATATGAAATTTATTCAATAAAAATAATAAAATATTGAATGTTCTTTTTTTTATTTCTATCTATTCAGTCGAAACATTTTAAATGATTTGAAATAAAAATCTTGTTAAACTCAACGATACTGCTAAGAGTCTCGCAATGATTTTTTTTTACAAAATCTTCTAATTTTGTGGATGTGGGAAGTGTAGATAGAAACAAGATTCAAACTGATAACCACATTCTACAACACCCACGCACCGACACCCGTTTATTTATTCTATTTAGTATTTATTATTAAAGAAAATCCCATTCATATTGTAATTTTAGAAAATTTTCCAATTTAAATCTTTGTTTTATAGAATTGATTAAATCTAAATATTAATTTCTGTATGTGATAAGAAAAAAAAGAAAAAATTATTTATAAATAAAATCATATAAAAATTCATCATGAAACATTGATTTTTTTTTGTATTGAAATATTGACTTACTCGATGTCCAAGGAAAATCGTCTGGTCGCCAAAGACGCAATGTTTCCAGATATGGAAAATAACTTCCAAGAAAAGATACAAGAGTTTTACCAATACGAATTGAATCATTTGAACCATAATTACAACTAGAAAGACAAAATTCAGTGTATTGAACTGAATTTAATGCGTTTCGTCTCAGTTTATCAGATGCCTAAAAATAAAACGGCAAGGAAATAATATAATGTTGTTATAATTGTCTAAATTTATCAAATTGAATCACACAATTATAATTATATAAACCAAACAGTTTATCACTTAAAACTATCAGTTTTTTTCCTAATATATCTTGACTAATAATAGGTAGGGAATTTCAAGACATAGTAAACGAGATTTTTCACTCTCCTTTTTTTAAATCTTTTTTTCGAACTCACATAAACATATATTTTAGAACAAAAAAAAATAGTAAATCATTTCTCATAGATCTTTAGAAAGGACAAAAATATATATGCTGAATGAGATTAGCAACAAAACTTAAGTTAGATTTATTCTAGAATATTTCAAAGCTTTTTTTTGTTGAAATTTAAATTATTGGAATAGATTTTGTCAATGTTCTCAAAACTTGAAATTTATCATCTTTCGATAGATATAAAAAATCATATAATAAAATAACAAGATTTATGGAATATAATCTTTTCATTTACCGTAGTCATTATACAAATAATATTTAATAAAAAAAGAATCAATTAATCAAATATTTATCTTAGACGATAGTCAATAAGACTGTTTCTGAGCTAATTAACATACGTAATAAATATGTTGAGACCTGATCAACATATAATAAATGTGTACCCAAAGAGACTTATTCCTCAGGTAAATAAACGATTTGTACGATAATATAAAAAGAAATTTAAGAAAAACAAAAAAAAATAAATAATGGACAAATAGCAATAAGACAAATATAGAAAGTAGAAAAGCAATAAAAGAAAAAAGTTTATTTGAAATGCTAAATATCGTTTCTTTGACAGTCAATTATTCTTTGAAAAGACCTATTCTATGTTAGATCTTTATTAATTTCGATATTTCCTTAGAAAAGATCAACTTAAATAAATTGACATTAAACCTCTATTAAGAAAAGTTTTATTTTTTCTCAAGTTAATTCTTTCTAAATTAAATATAGAAGAACTCATAAATAGAGATTTATTTTTTATTGTCAGATTTAACTATTTTATAAACTTATCACAAACTATTTTCAATAGAATCACAATCAATTTTGACATATTTAATACACACTAATAAATATATATTGACTAAAATCTGATAGATACCCATCAAACTACACATAGATATATTTTTTCAGATTTTTTTTTGTTTTGCTGAATCAAGTGTTCATTCTAACAATTGACGTTAACATTTTGAAATTGAAAGAAAACTTCTGATCTATTAGCCAAGTTATAGATATACAACGAAACAATGATATATATGAGAAATTTCTGAATGATTTCGAAATTACAATTAGCTTATCAATTCTTCTCTTTCATTAATGTGCTTAGTTCCTTCCAATTGATGAAGCGATGTCTGATATTCGTTCTGATTATGGATAACGAGAAGATAATACTATCCGTTTATTTCGAGAGATAGAATCGAACTGTTTTCGAAAATCGATAGGAAAGATCATATCCAACAATTAGATATAATGACAANTCATATGAAAGTATACTAAACTTTTATTTTCGATTAACAAGGATGTGGGTGTGGGTGTGGGTGTGGGCGTCGGTATGGGTGTGAATGTCAGTGAATTGAGTACCCACAGCCACACCCACAGCCACAGCCACAGCCACAACCACACCCACACCTACACCCACACCCACACCTACACCCACACCCACACCCACACCACATCCACCCACACCCATATCCACCGGCACGCACATCCACCCACACCCACATCCACCCACACCCACACCCTTGTTAATCGAAAATAAAAGTTTAGTATACTTTCATATGAATTTCATGATTAATATATGCGTACTTCTACATGAAACAAGCTAATAAATCAATGAAGAATAGCTGTTTCTAGGTTAGTTAAAAGAACCTTTACCGTTCATGCATATTACTTCACAATGTAGATACCGATCACTTCTCATGTGTACTACATTTTTTGTTCCAACACCAAGTCTGAACATTGTACTTGCCGTTGTATTCCCATTTTCGCTTCGACTTTTCATTCGAATCCAATGTATTGTCTTGTAATCGGTGATTAAATTGGGATGCTGAAACAGCTATCGTGATCGGATACCGCCAAACATCACAGTTTTGTCAAAAAAGACAGGCAATATAAGAGATAAAAATGATGACGAAGCTTATAAAGATGCATAGGATTGTAATTTGTCATTTGAGCAACCGATTGGCATAGGTTTTTCTTCGGTCCGAGCAAGTTTTACCAGGCAAATAACACTTTTTCGGACCAGTACCGCCAAGTTCCATGTAGTGATCGAATTAGACAAAGAAATAAATAGAATGATTCAATAATGCCAACAACGGTACTATACAAGTGTCTATTTCGTGTTGCAAAAAATAATTAATTATTGAAAACAGTCGACTTAAAGTGTTGAGAACTCTTCCCCGAAAAAAAGGAATAAGCTTGAACGGATACATCCTTAAATGTTTCTGCCAGTTCAGCACTCGACATTCATCAACTACTTTGATTTCTACGAATCAAACTTTGAAACAATGAATAAATTGGCGTGTGGGTGTAGATGCTGGTTTTCTCTTCGAACACATACTCATCCGCACTCACATCCTTGGTGAGGAAATTAGGATTTTAGATATTTATCAAGACTCTTCACGTCGTATATGCTGATGTCTAAAAACATTTAAACGATCGTGCAATATAAGAAAAGCTTTGACACGTCGGTGAAACATTACAACGAAAAAAAAAGTAGGTGGCCATCACTCTTTTCCCCTGGAGCACTGTTTTGTATCGAAGAAGTCCAATTTTACCGTTAAAACGGTATATTAGGCATTTTGCTTCTGTCTGCATAGCTATGAAAGATAAAAAGTATATTTATAGAAATACACATTGACTCAAATAGAAGCTCGTGCTGACTTTGAGAATAAAAAGAAATGAAATGATATTAGAATGAGACGAAATTGATGGCCTTCAGTAGGATTAATGACAATATTCTAGATATATCGAAAATATCGCTCGATAAGTAGACATCAAGGACAATATTCTTATATGTATATTCAGCAATGTATGAGTATTTGATTGCAAATTACAGATATATATATATATAAGGGCACAAAAAAAGTAACAACAATTACGGTTTTAAATAACTGAATATCATCATCATTTCAAAATCGAAATACATTCATACAAATACAACAATGCTAGCGATTGGTTATGTGAGTCTCTTAGTAGTTTTACTTGTGAACAGTGTTGGTAAGTTCAAAAGATCAAAACAAAAACGGATCGTACTGATAAATAATCATAAAATTTGTTTCAGCTGGCAACTGCTTGGTTACTAGATATTGTGGTGTTGGTCAGTGTTGTTCGGCGTTTGGTGTTTGTGGTACAGGAGTTCGATATTGTGGTGGAAGTGGTTCTTCATATTCAGGATGGTCAGCTCCACTATATATCGCTAATGATTGTCGTCTCTTAGGTTGTCGAGCTGGTTTGTGCTGCTCACCACGAGGACAGTAAGTAACTCTGATTTCCGCTTTTGTGCTATAGAAAGAACTAAACATTCATTTTAACATTTTATTACTTTTTTGTGTATAGCTGTGGAACTGTGGGCGCTTATTGTGCTACTGTTTCTTATAGCAATTGTGGTACTACATCATGTGGTGTTGGTCTTTGTTGTACACAATATGGATAGTATGTAGATTTATTCATATTTTATATTTGATAGAAGATTTTATTTTAATAATTCTAGTTGTGCTAGAGTCAGTTCTCATTGTGCATATAAAAAATCAAGCAGTCAAAGTCAACCAATAGCACTTGAAGGGGAATTTAAAGGGCAAGCAACATACTACAATGAAACCATGGCCAGTGCACAATACTCAACATGTGGCGTTGAACGAGGAGTGCCATTAGATGAAAATAATCAAAAAGTTTATAGTGCTGCTCTTAATCAAGCACAATTTGACCAATACACTGAGCAAGGTATTCCAAGTTCCAACCCGATCTGCCAAAAGAAAGCTTTAGTCAAAGGTTCAAAGGGTAAAATTGTTGTTCGATTTATTGATCGATGCCCTGATTGTAAAGAAAGTATGTAGTTTTTATATAAAGTTGTCCTGTTTCTTTTTTATCATCAATACTTATTCATCTTTTTGTCTCTTAGATGATATTGCCTTAACTCGAAAAGCCTTTATTGCAGTTGCCGGAGAACTTGGCACTGGTCAAACATCTGTCGAGTGGTGTTTTATCTAAAATGAAGCCATCTGTTAATAAAATATGAGCAGCAAATGAAGTCGAAAAAATATAATTATAAGACAAAAATGATAATATTAGAATAATTCTTTCCTTGTTGTTTTCTTTTTAAATTACCTGTGTTGATATTCTTTTTTGTCTTGTCCAATCTATTATATAAATAAAAAGTTCTTATCATCATTGACATATATACGTACATCATGTCTTTTTACACCTTAGAACAATGAAGAAGACACATAAAGTGACATGTCTAAGAAATGAAACTGTTTTATAAAAAATACATAAGAACTTCTAAAATTCAACAAATCAACATAATATTTTAATTTGAAAATAACTGCATTTAAATAAGAGCATGTCCTTCCGAAATATAACGCATTTATATCCAAGTTCGATGCTAACAAGGGGATCTGTTGTAGTTTGTAGAGGATCGTTCTCTAATTAACTTTTCATTGAGTGACACTAGGGTGTGGGTGTGGGTACCATGGAGAGTAGACCCACGCCGGTTCCCCCACTGAAACCCGCATCCACACCCACCCTAAATGTTATCTATTTTTTAGAATTTTGTGAGCCGTTTTTCGATGCGTGATATGTACATTAATCTGAGTATGAGTATGATAGTGATCGTAATAAATCTCCTATTGCAGATACCATTGAAAGTTTTATCAAGATAAGCAAAGGAATTAATATGATCATCTTGACTTGTGTGGTGACATGTATCTTTGATGAAGTCAAACAATGAAATAAGTACGAGTAATTACATTATGAACCATTGTTTATTAGAAAAATGCTTCTCAATATTTCTGGACATCTTCTTGGCAATAACTAAATTTTATTTTGTAAATTTAAGAAGAAAGCATCGGTTTTATCAAATATTTTCTTGAAATAAACACAAGACTTAATACGAGGTGAAAATATGTATATATCGAAACAATAAAATTACTTAAGCTCAACGTCGATTAACGAAATGTATAAGATGGAATTATTTTCATGTATTTTTTTAATTTTCTATAGGTATATAACTTTGTTTAACAATACGAAAGGAAGAAATATATTTAAAAAATGAATTCGTTATTCAGATATTTTTACTACAATTTTCCTTGAGAAATGTAAAAAAGTTCGAAAAAAAACGAAGTAAAAGGTTTGCTGGTTTGAGCATATTTTCTTGTGAAATCAAGCCTACACGTGAACATTCGTATGAATTCTACTTCACAGTGATACAAATTTTGTTGATATTTTCGTTCAA